TTCATGCTAAAGAGCTAATTTTTCTAGCAGAATGAAATGCCTGACACATAAAAATGTTCCGGTTATATAGGGGTAGCCAACCAATTTTTTTGCAAAATGACTTCAAAGAGGATTACCCCCCATTTCATTGAAATTTTCTGCTGATCACAGGACTGACATACACTTTTTATAAATGCAAATATCCAAGTCAAAATTATCACAGAGACTCATGAAATATTTCATTTTCTTCAGAAAACATTGTACTGTTACTTTTTAAATTAGTTTTTACACTTAAAAATACCCCACTTTCATCCAATCGCCTCATGTATAAACTGAATCATACGGTTTTCCCTGCACTTTTTTTCAGCCAATCGCTGGCCGTGTTACAATGCGATACCCTGACCTTCATGTTGGGGTTCATGAGACTCGCAAGTCATGAGAACTGCAAGTTTACTGTTAATGATAAAATTGCAGACTTAAAATTATCAATTAATAACACAGATCAGTATATGATGTTAAGAGCTACTTCTGTGATAACATAATTTTATCATATTTGATAATAAATAAGAAAAATAGTGGTGGACAGGTGGGTGGGGATTGAATATAGCGATCATTATGAGAAAATGTAAACATTATATATTCTTTAAAAGGTTTTGTTTCATCATAAGGCTTTGTTTCATCATTAATCAAGAAAGTGCAATCTGTTAAGGACATATAATAATAAGTATCCACTATCAAATGGACCGTTGACAATTTGGACCATAACAAATTATATTTGTATGGGTACCAAGGCAATTCAGTCCCCAGAACCCCCCCCCCCCCCCTCTTAAATTTTTTTTGTAAAGTGAATATTTTTATTATCGCAATCAACTGCAGTGCAGCATCATTGTCTGACAATTGTTGCCACAGGTTCAAATAGCTCCATGGCTCTGCAGCATACAGCTGACAAAATCAAAGTCATTGTTGTCTTTTCTGATATAGTAGTTTCTAAGTGTCTTAGTTCTGGAAGTATCTGCGCAGCGAATAGGTCCATCTCTTCTTCAAAGTCTCTGGAAACCTGTTTGAAAGAGGAGAAACAGACAGTTGTTAGAATAGAAATTTCCAAATATTTATCACCAATGATATAAACAGTGGTTGACTTGAATGTTTAATAAGGTGGAATTGTCTTTTGACACACAGCAGTATTAGTAACAGTCTAAATATATTTTATATCTGGTCTGGAACAAGTAAAAATTCCCTTTGACCATCAAAATGCAATTGAATAAAATACTTGTCCTGTGATTGTCTGTAGATTTATAAAAAATTAAATTATCCAATGATTATCTTTTTTAATTAAGCATTTCTGTTACTTCCGTGAACTTAAGCAACTATAGTTTCAGAATACATGTATGACACTAATGACTATCAACTGTTAAAAGTACTGAACATTTTTATATGAAATTTTATTTGACAAGATTATCTTGAGTGCTTTCATGAAAAATTATTATATTCTAAGTACAAGAGCAATCAGTGATCACATGTGTCGCCTCATGATGGCCAATTTCATGTTGGGACAAATTTTGTGACAGACGGACAGACGGACAGTGCTCAACTAGACTTGGTACTGATCATTCCTGTAAAGTTTGGATAAAATTGCACCATTAGTTTATGAGGAGTAGTCTGGACAAGCTTTTGTGTATCTGGCAACACACAGAAAAAAAACACCTTTTTATCAAACGGCCATAACTCGGCCAAAAATCATTCAACTGGAAAACCCGTGCAATATGCGCAAGAACTTGAGCTACAGATCAATCCTGTAAAGTTTCATTGAAATTGCATTAGTGGTATAAGAGAAGTAGTCTGGATAAACTTTAAAAATAGAAATTATTATAGGGCCATAACTCTGACAAAAAATCATTGAACCGGAAAATGCTGACAATATGCACAACTAGACTTGGTACAGATCATTCCTGTAAAGTTTGGATGAAATTACACCAGTAGTTTATGAGGAGTAGTCCAGACAAGCTTTTGTGTATCTGGCAACATACAGAAAATGAAACCTTTTTATCAAAGGGCCATAACTCGGCCAAAAATCATTCAACCGGAAAACCCGTGCAATATGCGCAAGGACTTGAGCTACAGATCAATCCTGTAAAGTTTCATTGAAATTGCATTAGTGGTATAAGAGAAGTAGTCCGGACAAACTTTAAAATTAAAAATTATCAAAGGGCCATAACTCTGACAAAAATCATTGAACCGGAAAATGCTGACAATATGCACAACTAGACTTGGTACTGATCATTCCTGTAAAGTTTGGATGAAATTGCACCAGTAGTTTATGAGGAGTAGTCCGGACAAGTTTTGTGACGGACGGACAGACAGACAGACGGACGACGGAGAAGTGATCCCTATATGTCGCCACTACTCCATAGAGGCGACACAAAAATCAAGTAGGGTCATGAGATTTGCAAGTTTTATTCAATCTCATGTCAAATATATTGATAAATGTTTATTAAATATTGCTGACAACACATTCAGAACTCATGGTTCCTGCACATTTCTGAATAAATATTACCATTCATAACATAATTGGCACAAGATTTATTTTTATGCAAAATTGTTTTACCTGTTTCTAGATTCCTCTTTTATTTCCCAACCTTTCTCCATCTTTAACCCAATTTGCCGGCAACATACACCTAAAATTGAAAAAAAAGCTCGGGACAGATGTTTTTGACATTTTACTTATAATGAAAGTCTGTACAGACTTTACTCTATTCTTACTATTAAATTATCTTATCATTCAGGTATTTTTTTTTTATTATACATGCTGTGATGGACTACATTTCACAATTTGAAATCTCAGAATCACACCTTTCCTTGACAAAAACTCTACAAATACAACTAACACAGATTGTCTATTTATGCCATTAAAAAAGTGGCAAAATTTTATTTGCCACACTGTGAGAAAGATGTGAAGCCAGACTAGGACTCAAACTGTCATATGGCATATAATGACTGATGCCGGTGATTGCATATTAATATATGTCATATATTTTCCATGAAATTTTAAGTGTAGGCCTTCAGTCTATAAATATATACTGTACATTTAATGACATTTTAGTTCTTTTGACAGATAATTTAAAAGACCTCCATGACTTTTACAGGTATGACACAGAAATCTGCCCCATCGTAGCTGATACAAATCCAGTATTTTTTTTCCAGAGGGGGTGGAAAATTAATATATAAATTAATACTTAACGCGTACATCAGGCAGATCATACTGTTTCAGACTGTTTTAACCTTTAAATTATATCAGGCAGCTTGGAAATCTCCTAGACCAATAAACTATAAAGCAAAGTAGTAAGTAGATTTTTTATAACCATACAAAACCTACAACAGTCTACAATGAAGGTCAGAAATTTTGGGTAAAATACATGAACTCGTGCTTTATAACCCAAATTGGTTAGAGGGGGTAGGGTAAAAAAATCAGAAATAAATGAAAGAAAATAGAAAAAAAACCAATAGATCACAAAACAAGGGGTAATTACCCAATATACACAAAATGTTATCTGTAGCCCTGTAACAGTATTTTATATAAATCATATTTATTGTCAAAAAATTCAATCTAAAAACTTTATTTATGAATCAGTCAGAAAAAACATCTTGTTTTGATATCTTTTCTTTTTTAAGGAACAAAGATCATTTCAAAAAAATATGCTGTCATTTTTTTCAATTTTTTACTTATGTTAGTAATCATACCTCTAAATTACTTTTACAGTTTTATAGTTATTTTGATACTGCTTAAAAAGTTTTTCAACTAAACAATCTATATCTAAGATTGTTAATAGAGGGCCGAGCTGACCCTGTGCTGAGTTGACTAGAGCCAAGCTGGCCGAGTTGACCCTTTACCAATATCAAAACATATTCCAAATGAAAAAAAAAATCCAGGTCAGCTCTGCCCTAAAACGTTCGGCCCTATACCAACTCGGCACGGGTCAACACGGCCCACTTTTCAATTATTAATATTTAGGTTTGTGTTATCACTATTTATTGTAATTATTTATAATACACGGATTGACAGTTTCCGAACTAGCAGCAGACAGGCTTTTCTTATCAGTAAAATTGCAAGTAAAGTGTTGTTTGCGTATCTCACTGTATTTCTGACTCTAGATAGGTTTAACCGTAATTTTTTATACTTTCAGTGTCAATGTGTTGTAATATACACTGAGAGGAAAAATAATTACGAAAATCAGATCTGTATAAAAATGATAAAGGCCTATATTGAAATAAACGAAAATTGAAAACAGGGTCGTTCAAATAGAAGTTACGTAGTTTAATGAAAATAAGTCTATATATGAAAATATCTATAATATTAACGTGAATTTTCGCAAGTAAATTGATACATAGTTAAATTCTGTTCTTTATTACTTTAACTAGATAATGCACAGACAAGGTCTTTCTATTTGATAGAAGAAAAAAAAAAAACGTATGACACGTGCACATGAATTTCGGTGATTGGATTTTCGCACTTGTCATTATTGACACACACTTATTAAAGCCAAGCATTAAAGGTGTTTATTGGCGTTATCACAAGCACCAAGTCATAAGTTATTTATTTTTTAAGTTTTTGTTTCATTAACTGATTTTCAACCTTTTATTTGACGATTAATACATTTTTTATTCTTGTACCCATTTTGTTACAATTAAGTTCATTGGATGCGAAAAACAATGTACAGAATTTGGGTTTTTAGGCATATTAAATCAATATCATATTCACTCAGGTTATGAAAAACTAATTAATATAATAAAAAAATGTATATATATTAGTTTAAAATAATAAGGTATTTCTTATTATTCATTTACCTTAACAACATGCCAAGCAAAGTTAATACGTTATATATATTTTTGTAAAGTGGGCCGAGTTGACCCGTGCCGAGTTGGTATACTAGGGCCTAGTTGACTCTTTTCCAATGAAAAATACTACAGTTTACATTGTTTTGGAGAGGTAGAAGGGTTGTAGAGGGCAGCGTTGTGCCCAATTTCATCCAACACATAAACTCCCTTAAAGGGCCCCACAGATTACAGACGCAGCGATCAGCGATGTGGAGTGGTCATAACGAGGCATTAGCGATAACGGAGTGGACGGAAAATTCTTAGATTAAAATAATTAACTGCTACCATTAATTTTATATTAAATTAAACAAAGTTCTTCAATAATTTTGTTTTTAAGTCAAGTTATTAAGTGTTAATCATTGGATATTAAACATGAGTGAACCTGATGAGGTATGTCATGATATTAATATATCTTATATATATATAAATATATATATTTATTTATTTCTTTTATTTATTTGCTTTTATGTTTATAATTGTTAAAACTTATATTAATATGTAATATAAAAGGAACACTGCAAAATTCAAATGTGCAAATAATCATAGTATCATCTATGGATGTTCCTTAAAAATTTAACCACTACACGATGGATCTACATCGTTCTTTCATATTTAAGATAGATAAAATGTATATCACATTTTCTATTCTAATTTAGAAAAATGAAGTAAGACATCAAACATCTTTTAATGATGGATAAGCGTTTTATGCTAAAATTGAAATGGATACCACATTTCTTTATTTGTTATGTATTATGTATGAGATATAACATACGTAATTGCTCATTTTTTCCTGAGCCTTCATCAACCCCAAAATTCCTAGCGGGCATTTTATCTTACAGACAAACTTGGCAGAGCGCCAGGGCGGAAATGACGAGGTCATTGAAGATGCGCATGAGCATCATAACATATTTTCTCGGTTAGCCGCCATGGGGAACCAGACGATATCATCTAATGGAGGTGATCAGATTTCGGAGATCACGGAATCTATAAAAATAATGCACGAATCAATGGAATTTATGAAACAAGAAATTGTTTCATTAAAAAACAAGAGGAAAACTGAAAATGGCGAAACTTCATCTAAACGCATAAAACTGATGGAGGCAGAAAATGGCGCATCCGGTTCCGAAGATTCGGACAGTGATGACGCAATAGCCTCATTTTTAGCTGACCAGAATGAGGCAACTCAAGGGAGCATCAACGAGAGCGAATGGGCTGAGATAACTGATTTTTTTGAAGAAAATCTTGAAACGGGAGAGGAAATTCTGCCAGATTTGGCAACATTGGCAAATTCGGTTTTAAGAGCGAAACCTAAGGATGACAAAGTCGCCAGCTTGAAAATAAAGCATAAAAGACCAAATAATGTGGAAAATCTACAAGTCACAAAGGTAGATGAACAATTATGGCGACAGTTAAGACGAGAAACCAAAACATTTGATTATGCAATGCAGAAAAACCAATTTACATTATGCCATGCACTTGTTCCCACACTAAAACTAATGCAAAATCTTAAAGAGAAAGGGCCTGCATCAGAGGCACGAGATCTTGCAGCCGATACATTCAAGATATTAGCGTACGGAATTAATCAATCCAACGATGCGCGAAGGGAAAAAATCAAAAAAGATCTTCTGCCATCATACAAACCATTGTGTAATCAACCTTCATCAGCAACCAAACTTTTTGGGGACAAACTTCAAGAAGAAATAAAACATCTTAAAGAAACAAAAACTAATCTTACATCTACCAGGCAACCTTTTTTATCGAAAAAGGGAGGGGGGTTCAACAACTACAACCAACACCAGCGTATCCAAAGCACACCGGCCTTCCCTCCACGAAACAACAAACTAGCTTGGAATACTGTCATATAGTACGCATTTCAAGCATTTCCTCAATTAAAACCCGTGGGTCAATTATATTAGACAGCTTGTCCGGTCTTAATAAACAGATGTCAACAACAATAGTACTTTCCGCCGGATAAAGATCTCTAATTACTAGAATGGGGATAAAACATTTTATTAGCGGTAATTAAGTAGAACAATACAATATTAGAGGTTCTTAATTAATGCATCCTGTCAAGTATAAGCGAATATATATATATGTTTAATTGTTACCTGTCTCGAAGCGGGGAAAAGTTGGTTTAATAATTCACTTTTATTACACATAGCGTAGGTTGATTATCCCTTTAAATACTCAAGGATCAGGCTAGTATTTCAGTGTCGGTTTTAATGTTAGTAGGCACTCACTTAATTTTGGTACGCAGTTATAACTTACTCTTTGATTGTCTAACTTGGAAACTTTGATTATAAATAAATGTTGAACTTACTGTAAATGCATATCCTAGTAAACAATAATTAAACTGAATGACATTTGAATATACACTGTGTTGACTTATTGTATTTGAGTTTATTCAGATAACCGGTTACAACACAAGCGGCGTTTTCGTATACTTTTATATATTATTATGTTCTTTGTAGTCAAAATAACAAAATTAATTATCATATAATTCAGTTATCACTTGTCATATTCTCAACAGAAAGTAATTAATGAACTTATGTTAATTCAAATAGTATTCTTTGTAAAAACGTTGTATTTTATACAAGTTGTTAAAATTGTGTGTTTTAAAATTTTATAATTTCATTTCTTTTAAATATATGTTTAACTTTTGTTTTCCTTTCGTTTCGTTTCAGGTATACGAATGTATAACCTCTACGCATATCGTTTTCAAAAGAAAGAAAACAAAACAACAACACAGATGTTCTTGAAAATTGCCGTTGGTTTACAACATAAAGCAAAAGTGAAAATTGTGTTTTTTGTTATAGTTCTGTGTTCATAGAAATTTTTTCTATTCTCAGCAATTTTTCGGAGGTTCTACATTCGTATCATAGTTTTATGGAAAAAAAAAGTGACATATTTACTAGGACTTGTTTTAAACAGAAATATATTCCTTATTAACATGTGTGATGTTGTGAACAAAATATATATGAAAATCTAGGACACTCATTTTCTCGAAATACTTATCAAATATCTCATTATCTACATGTGTAAATGTCTAATTACCTTGGATTCTATTCTGAGTACTACTACTATATGAAACTATAAATATATATATAAAATACTTAAAAATTGTGCTAGTATACTTTGAAAATCTATTATAATTAGAATTGTAATTGTTATTATTACCATTATATCAAAATATAATAAAATACTATACAGTTGTTATAAATGGATGAAACATAAACACCATTGAAATCTGTTAGCCTTTAGAAAAAATGTTATATTGTTAGGAAACTGCGTATCATTTTTACCTTATATTTTTATTCCATTTCACTATTACATCTGGGCACTTCGAAATATTATACAATACTGACCTTAAATTTTTGAATTGTTTTTTTAAAAAATCTGTAAATATTTTATAATGGCCAAGGGGGTATTGTCATATAGTACGCATTTCAAGCATTTCCTCAATTAAAACCCGTGGGTCAATTATATTAGACAGCTTGTCCGGTCTTAATAAACAGATGTCAACAACAATAGTACTTTCCGCCGGATAAAGATCTCTAATTACTAGAATGGGGATAAAACATTTTATTAGCGGTAATTAAGTAGAACAATACAATATTAGAGGTTCTTAATTAATGCGTCCTGTCAAGTATAAGCGAATATATATATATGTTTAATTGTTACCTGTCTCGAAGCGGGGAAAAGTTGGTTTAATAATTCACTTTTATTACACATAGCGTAGGTTGATTATCCCTTTAAATACTCAAGGATCAGGCTAGTATTTCAGTGTCGGTTTTAATGTTAGTAGGCACTCACTTAATTTTGGTACGCAGTTATAACTTACTCTTTGATTGTCTAACTTGGAAACTTTGATTATAAATAAATGTTGAACTTACTGTAAATGCATATCCTAGTAAACAATAATTAAACTGAATGACATTTGAATATACACTGTGTTGACTTATTGTATTTGAGTTTATTCAGATAACCGGTTACAACACAATACAACACAGCATCGCCAACTAAATCAACCAAAGAAGGGGAAAATGGGGAGAAAATAATAAATGTAAGTACAAATATAAATATAAGTGTCCAAAACACAACAGAAAATTTTCATGCCGGTAAGACAGCTGATAATATTAGCATATGGAAAACCATTACAACTGACAAGTGGATTTTAAATAACATTAGAGGTTGTTCAGTTGAATTAAATGAAATTCCAAAGCAAAAAATTATTCCTAAACCTATTAATTTTACTAAAGAGGAAAAAAGAAAGATTGAGAACGAACTTAATAGATTTTTAAACATTGGAGTTATAGAGAAAGTGGAAGATAATTTAGATAATGAATTCATATCAAACATTTTTATAAGACCTAAAAAAGATGATCGTGTACGAATAATTTTGAACCTAAAACAGTTTAATGAGTTATATATAGAAAAACATCACTTTAAAATGGAATCCCTTAAATCTGCAATTAACGCTATGAGAAAAGATTATTTTATGGCCTCAGTTGACCTAGCAGATGCTTTCTACTCCATAACCATTAGAGAACAGGACCGGCGTTATTTCCGATTCTACTTCAATGATATAAAATATCAATTTACAGCATTAGTTATGGGGTATTCATCCAGCCCTCGAATTTTCACAAAGATACTGAAACCTGTGTTCGCTTATCTTAGGTCATTAGGTCATGTTAGTGTTTATTTCATTGATGATTCTTGGCTAGTAGGAGATTCTTATCAGTCATGTATGCGTAATGTGAACGAAACTGTGCACTTAATGGATAAACTCGGATTAACGGTAAATCAGAAAAAGTCGGTGCTAGAACCGTGTAAAAAGCTTATCTTTTTAGGCTTCATACTGTGTTCTGAATCCATGACAGTTAAACTAACATTTGAAAAGGGGGAAGATATAATTAAACTTTGTTCGAAAGTACTAAACACCAAACGAATCACTATTCGTGTCTTTGCTAAACTTATCGGGAAACTCACGGCGGCTGAGCCGGGAGTTAAACATGCACCACTATATATCCGACCGCTTGAAAAAATAAAAGAGAATGAATTAAAACTTCACAAGGGAAATTTCGACAATTTCATGAATGTACCGCAGTCAATACATACAACCTTACTTTGGTGGATAGAAAATATACAGATTAGTTTTAAAAATATTTTGTCGCAAGATCCGAACACTGTTATATACACTGACGCTTCATTAAAAATGTTCGGGGCATTCAATGAAACTAACGGTCAAAAAACAAATGGTTTCTGGTCGCATGAAGAACAAAAACTTCATATAAATATTTTAGAAATGAAAGCTTGTGAAATTGGCTTACGCACTTTTTGTAAATCTTCTAAAAATATTCTTGTGAAATTGTATACGGACAATACAACATGTTGTTCGTACATTAATAGATATGGAGGTAAGGTTCGAGCTCTCGACGATATTGCACGAAGAATATGGTTCTGGTGCATTGAAAGAAATATTATGTTAACGGCAGCCCATATTGCTGGCGTATCGAACACACACGCTGACAAACTTAGTAGAACTGGAAATGATGATATTGAATGGTCTTTAGAACAAGGAATTTTTGATAAAATCTTAAAACATCACCAGAACATTAAAATTGATTTATTTGCATCAAGATTGAATGCAAAACTTAAAAAGTATGTTTCGCGATATCCCGATCCATCCGCTATTGCAGTAGATGCATTCACATTTAAGTGGTGTGATAATTTATTTTACATATTTCCACCTTTCAGCTTGATAGCACGCATCCTTCAAAAGATAGAAAGAGACCACGGAAAAGCAATTTTGATAGCACCAATCTGGCCTACCCAGACGTGGTGGCCAATTCTCATGAGATTGATAAAAGGTCCATGCTTGATTCTCCCAAAAGTGGAAAAAATTCTGAAACTAGAACACAAACCAAATCAAAAGCATCCTCTGAAAAAGATGAGACTTGCTGTTTTCGATATATCAGGGCAGGTTTACGAAGGCAAGGTATACCGAGAGACGCTCGAGACATCATCATACAGTCCTGGAGAAAAAGCACAAGAAAACAGTACAACTCATATGTTAAAAAATGGTTACATTTCTGTGGACGGGAAGCTAATCCCTTTAATTCCAATATAAACGATATTATCAAATTTCTTGTTTATTTACACAAGCAAGGACTGAGTTACTCTGCAATAAACACAGCACGTTCAGCTGTTAGTAATTTTGTGAGAATTACTGGTCAGGTAAACATACATGAAAACGAAATAATATCACGTGTTATGAAGGGGATTTTTAATGAGAAACCACCACGGCCACGATACAAAGTAACATGGGACGTAAAAATCGTTCTAAACTACTTAGAAAAGATGGATACTACATCCTTTCTATCATTATCATGTAAATTGTGCATGCTATTTTTACTTGTTACGGCTCAAAGATGCCAGACTTTGCATACTATAAAATTATCTGACATTAAAAGAGTAGGTGAAAATATTTTCATTCAAATATCAACTCTTTTGAAACAGTCAAGACCAGGGTTCAGTTTAGAACCGATAATTTTACAGCCGTATAAATTAAAAAAGAATCTATGTATTGTAACAACTTTAAATGAATATATCGCTAGAAGTGAACATTTAAGAATAGATGAGTCACTTATTATTTCCACAGTAAAACCACATAAACAGGTTTCCAAACAAACAATAGCACGATGGATTAAATTAACAATGATGAAAGCAGGCCTTGCTGACACATTCAAACCTCATAGTACAAGATCAGCATCGACGTCAAATGCTTTTTATAAAGGAATCCCTTTATCTGACATAATTAAAACCGCGGGATGGAGTACAGCAAAGACATTTGCTAAATATTATCAAAGACAGATTCTTACCACTGAAACTCAAAATTTTGTTCTAGAATGAATCTCATTCATGTTTATCAGATATTAAGTACGGGCAATAGTAAATACATAATGATGTTTACACAATACAGTTATCGCCCAGTTATCTATACATGTATATTTCATTGCATGATATTAGTTTACAATAATATGTAGTAAGCCATACATATGTTTCTTGTTATTATTGGCGTACTCGTTTTTCCTTTTACAATATTTTATCAGAAATCTCTCTGAACAATCTGTGGGGCCCTTTAAGGGAGTTTATGTGTTGGATGAAATTTAATGATTAAGCGAGACTTACCTTCGTAGAAGTAAGGTGAAGATTGATCATAATTTCATCCGACACAAAACTCCCTAAGGGCTCACACGCCCGCCCACTACCACCCAAAACGGATTTCTTTAAATATTGTCATCTTATACATAAGATACAAACTTTAAAATATGACCACTCCACATCGCTGATCGCTGCGTCTGTAATCTGTGTGAGCCCTTAGGGAGTTTTGTGTCGGATGAAATTATGATCAATCTTCACCTTACTTCTACGAAGGTAAGTCTCGCTTAATCATTAAATTAACGCGCCTAACACCTGTGACACAGACACTAACTTCATCATGAGTGTCATGACACCTGACTTAGCGATACAATTTCATTCAAACATAGGTTGTGTTTTTATCAGTTAATATGCAGAAAATGGTAAAGGGATGTGTAATCAAACACTAATAATAGAAAATGCAGCCCAGGCATACTTATAATATTCTTTATATATAGTATTATGAGCGTATATGGGTAAAATAATTGTGTCTGGTGCCTGTGTTAGAATTGAACAAAATGTTTTGTTATTTCCTGGAAGAATAAATAAACAAAAGAAACTGGATGACAATGTATGTGTGAAAATTAGTAGTAAAATTATGATGAAGATGGTGTATTTAAATTTGCACATAGTTTTGATTATTTTTTGTGAAATTTGGTAAGAATTTTTATTTTGACATCATATTCAAATATACTATTTAGGAATTACAATGTACATGATTTAAAAAAAGTTTAACAATACCGTGTTTTTTGTGTAATAAAGCTTACTGTCAAATGTGTAAATCGTTTCCAATTTTGAAATTAATATATTTTCGAGAATAGTGTTATGCTTTGTTTTTATGCCCCCAGGCATACAAAAATTGAACCGGCCGTCTCTCCGTCCGTCCGTACGAAGTTAATTAAAACAGCTGTATTTTCTTATGTTTTACCTGTACCAATTATTTCATAATTTACACACTTACTAATCAATACAAAATACATGGTCTGGGCAAGCTATATACGTATGGGTTCCATTTTTCAAAGTTATTGCCCTTTTCAGCACTTTGAAAATTGTTATGGTAAACCTTAACAGACAAGTTGGATATATCTTAAGTTCTATCTTTACTTATGGTTTCATAGTTTCCATACTACTTTGCTATATTGTCAATTGTAGACCATTTTTAACGTTTTTGGTTGGTTGTATAATAGATGTGTTTACATGCAAACAGACTGGGATCAATATTGGCAATGATATAGACACATACATACATCAATAACCAACACGATTCTCGAAATCTTAAAACAAGAAAAACTGTTAAACCCAATGATTCAGTGTGGATCACGGCACAAATTAAACTACTCATACGTAGACGTATAAAACTTTTCCATGGAGTGAAACGAACTCAATAGCCTATGCACTTGCACAAATTAATGAAATTGCTATATACATTTATACCTGTGGCCAAGCGAAACCATGTACAGCAACATACAGACTCACTCGCATTTAAAAAGACATCACAAAAAGATGAAAAAACATAAAAACCATTCATATCACCGACTGAAAAAAAACAACAAATCATTCTTGCGCTGACATGCACAGACACTAACAGACTTATATTGATAACACATCGAAATTTGACTTATCAAATCACTTTTTCTGCAGCAAGTCTTATCTTGGTAATTCTAAAGGAAACTCCTGGCGATTTCTTATTAGAGCCTGTTCTTCACTTCACTTCAGGACCTGATGAAATTAGCGAACGGACCTTGTGTCATATCTTACTTTACAGCTATGTCTGTAAGACTGTTGATGATGGTCTCGAGACACACTTTGTGTTTCTCGACACCAGCAAGACTTTCGATACAATGTGGCAGAAATGTCTTCTGCTTCAGTTTTGCAAGAGCATCGTCTCGACAGGTTTTCGATCTGTCAGATAGACGTTAAATTGTTGTTCTTCCTTGCGCTAAATCTGATTGATATTTTACCAAAGCAGGAGTCGCTTTTAAGGCTCGGTTTGTGGTTCACTTTTTGAATTGATGACATGGTTGTAAATCTGTTCGCCGATTATTCCAGCCTGTATGATTTTGATCGTCGATCATCCATTCATTGCAGCTGAAATTATTCAATATGATATTAAACAGATTTCGTTATGGGCTGAAATGGTAAATCAGGTTAAGTCCCTCAAAATTTGAAACCATGACAACTACACAAAGCATCTTAACATTTTCATCTGTCTATGCAAAACCAATTATAATATTTCCAGTTACTTCTCACAAGCACCTTAATTTACATTTTATTAATTATAACAAGGAAAGAGCTTTGAAAAGTATACATATCATGCGTAAACTTAAATTTAAACTTGATCGTAGATCTATAGAAATTCTGTATCTGTTCTTAGATATTGAGATCTATTCTAGAATACGCCGTTGTTGTCTTCAGTTTGGGAAAAGTTGACATGATACAATCCAACGCGAAGCGTCTACAATTGTTTCCGGTGCTAGTACACGTGTGTTTTTGTACGAGCACAAACGAGAAGTCCCATGGGATTCTTTATATTGTATAAGAAGGAAACACAAACTCATACTTCTTTACAAACTTACAAAATGAACCTATCTGATGAACTACTATCATCTTTTGTTTCGCCTTCTGTAGGTGAAACATCAACAATGTATAATATGATCATTGTAGTAAAATGTTTTTCTTTCTCTGGCTCTAAGAGACCGGCACGACCTCCCGGCAGAATTACAAAATGCACCTTCCCTATCTTTCGTCAAGTGTCTCCTGAATAGTTTACAAAATGCCCACAATATTTTAAACAGATACAAGTATTAGAAATGGCAAATATACCATGCAAGTCTACGAACTGAGTGCAGTTCGCTCAACCGTCACCTGTTCAGAAAAGAGAGAGAGAGAGAACTCACCAATGTGTCAATGGGTCTTTTATAAACAAACTACTATTTTTCTTTGACTGTAAACAATACAATACTATCCGATTTTTTGTTGCTCATTCACTTCTTGTTTGCCGACTTAGTTCAATTTTCGACATTAAGAAAGTCAGTGGCTGCTATGAAGTCATTGGTTGCTATGGATGGAAGTCAATGGTTGTTAATGAAAGCAAACGATTGCTATGGAAGTCATCGGTTGCTATAGAAGTAAATTTTTGATATGAAAAGTCAATGGTTGCTATGAAAGTCACTAATTGCTATATAAAGTTACTGTACGCTATGGAAGTTAACGGTTGCTGTAGAAAGCCACTGGTGTCTAGGGAAGTATATGGTTGCTTTATAAATTCAGTGGCTGCTATGGAAGTCAATGATTGCTATGGAAAGTCAATGGTTGCAATAGTTGTCGTCACTGGTTGCTATGGTTGGTCAGTGGTTGTTATGTGAGTCATTGGTTGCAATAGGAAGTCAATGGTTGCTTTAAAAAAATATGATTGCTTTTGATAGTCACTGGTTGCTATTGAAGTCATTTGTTGATATGAAAAGTCAGTGGTTGCTATGGAAAGATAGGTGTTGCTATGGAAGTCAGTGGTTGCTTTGGAAAGTCATTTAGTGTTTTAGAATTAAATGGTTGATATGGAAATTCAATGGTTGCTATGTGAGTCACTGGCTGTTATGGAAAGTCACTGGCTGCTATGGAATGTTACTGGTTGCTTTGGAAGTAACTAGTTGTAATATTGGTCACTGATATGGTAAATGATTGCCATAGAAATGCACTGGTTACTATGGAAAGTCAATGGTTGCTAGTAAGATCAATGTTAAGGCAAGTCGATGTCATTAGGAGCTCAAGAAATATATGGTTGCTATGGAAAGTCACTGCTTGCTATGCAATAGAGTTAATGGTTGCTATGAAAAGTTAGTGGTTTTTATGGAAATCCATGGTTGCCGTGGAAAGTTGGTGATTGCAATATTTGTCCCTTGTTGCTATGGAATGTCAATGGTTGCCATAGAA